GTTGGTTTGGCGCTCTCGCACGAGTCCGGCGCGCTAGTTTCGCGATGACTCTCGGGCCAAGTTATTGCGTTTGCGACGCAGCCGGAACGGGAGCGGGATGTCTCGCGCTGCACGTGTGGCGGACACACCTTTCCGACAGCTGTCACCGTAAGTGGTATTTGTCTTGGCTTATGACGTCGAACATGCCAAAACTAAAGTTGCGACGAGTTACTGCGGCATGCAAATTACCATCTTTGACTTCAAAGGCAGCGAACCGGACGAGAGTCGGTGTAAGAAACGATTGGAGCTAGTATGCAGGCCCAAACGGAAATGCATGAAAAGAAGCTGGTTTTTAGATTGAAAGGTAAATTTTTCTTAATGGCCGTTTAGTCGTTATTGTCAGGACGTTCACCCATCCTAGATTGCTTTAAAATTTTTGAATACGCAGGAGTCTCGAGTTCGCATCCGATACTGGAAGCGTGCCACTTAATAGGGCATTCAGTCAATTGACATACTCGTCTACCGCTTGCATATCAGACTTTGCAAGAATAAGTCATTAATGCAACTGAGAAGCCTTCTAGACTTAGGGGGACTCAGAGTTCATTCATTTATTCTGGCTTTGACGTTGTGTCCTCTTTAGAGTTTAAAACTTTGATTTATTCGATCGCAACCGACAGGACAACGATCCCATGGCCCAGTAATTAGAGCTTTGCACTTTTAACTACCAGAGCGCGGTTTTGAGTCTCCGAGCTCGCAAGCGTGGGGTTAACTATGACTGGCTGATGATAGCAAATAACCCAGAAATGGTTATTTCAGTCTCTCGTGCTTGTCGATAATGTGATTCAAAGACGGCTCATAAGCACTTTACCGAACGGAATTTAATTGGCGCTTGCCATTCTGTCATTGCAAATGAATTATTCGCTCAGTAATGGACGCACACTGACCCACTGACTTCTCCAAGCACACAGTTTTACATATGAATGGCAAAGGTAACGAACAGGCAACTAACCGTCAGGCCGAAAGAGGAGGACATGACATGGAGAAGGATAAGTAAGACTGCAATGGCTGTTTCTGGCTTATTGGAAGTTATCAGCCAGCCATACCCAACCCAGGCTTTGAGCTCATTCACCCATTAAAATGAGCCTTCATGATTCGTTCCTGATATGGGGCCGATAGCTGTTTTTAAGTTTTCCGC